TGGTGAACTATGACAATGTAGTGGACACAGGTTCTGAAACAGATGAGGAAGACAAGCTTCATATTGCTGAGGATGACGGTATTGCCAACCCTCTGGACCAGGAGACAAGTCCAGCTAGTGTGCCCAACCATGAGTCCTCCCCACACGTGAGCCAAGCTCTGTTGCCAAGAGAGGAAGAGGAAGATGAAATAAGGGAGGGTGGAGTGGAACACCCCTGGCACAACAGCGAGATTCTACAAGCCTCTGTAGATGGTCCAGGTAAGTGTCTAAAATCACTTGGCCTCTTCCTGTACCATCTTCACATCTTCAACTAATCTGTTCCACCTAGTAGATCGCCCACAACCAAATAATTAAAATATTTCTTCCCATTGCGCCCTTGCAGAATAGAGATACCAAAGCTGGTGACAGATTACGAAGTGATAGTAATGTTATCACATTACAGCAGTTACATCTTAGGAAGGGATTATATTTCAGTTTTGATGCAAGTCAAATATGAACCACACTTTCAACACATAACATGAGGTATTTGCACCACATTTACAATGTGCAAATTATGTAACATGATCAAGATCTATACTTTCATGATAGGAAGTGGAAGCAAATGTAAAAACTCACAACATATATATATATGTATATAAAAATATTTAGTGTGGAAATTATGTAGCATTTCAAACCAAATAACTGTCACTTTAATGTAGCTTCAGTGTCTGTCTGACACCTCCTATTGGAATTCAATCGTTTAATCATTCCCTTTTGTTAAGTGTGAAAGTGATTTCACACTTTTACCTGGTCAGGTAGCTTTCTTATTATTTATCAGCTAAGTACTTGATAATGATTCCTGCTGTTTGGTGGGACTCTTAAGGGAAGTAAAAATGGTCCCAGGCCAACTATAATAAAACTAAGGTAAATTACATTCAAACTAAAACTTCCGATGACCCTGTGCAAATGGGAAATGTCTTGGTCTAAAATTCACTTATGATGGAGAATCGCTAAGGTATGAAATGTGTAACAAAGTACAAGAAATCTTATTCCTGTGAACTTCCTCTGCTCATCTTTACCTGGTAAAGTGGCCTGGAAGATGTGTTTAAATGACCTCTCTAATTCAGACCTCATGTCACCTTCATCCCTATTCCCAGGACCCACTGAGAGCTATCATCGTTTACCCCATCTTGTTTTTTCTTTAACAATATAAGCGACAAAAGCATTTTTATAAATAGGTGAAGTGGCTGGGAAGGAGTCCACCTATGTGCTATTGTGATGTCGCAGACTATAAACCATCGAACATAGGCAGAGTAATTGTTTGGTGTACTGGAAGGAGGATAATAAAAGCACTTCCACTACGAAAGAAAATTAAATGTGAGAAGAAAGAAAAAGAAAAAAGACCGATGGCAATTTGAGTACAGTGTATTTGTTTTTCGTTTTCCTAACATACTGTGCCAAGTTTTCTACTCTTTCCGTTTCCAATTTTGCTTTCGGTGAAGGTTTCTCGAATCTCAGCAATCCCACACATAAACATTTATCGTTATATCCATTAAGACTTAAGGTTTCAGATTTTCAACTATGAGGGAGAACTCAGCCAAAGATGCTTGAAAGATAAATACGTTTAATTAGGGGCAGAGGATGATCATTAAAGGAAGTCTGACTGCTGCAGAAGTCATTAACAATCTTAAATGAAATTTTTATTTTTATGATAGCCATTTACATGTATAATAAGAGCCAATGATTCTTGGGAGCAGTGTGACAGAAACAGAGTGTGGCGAGAACTCATGTAAGACATACTATTTAAATGAGCTGGTGTTAGCTATTCATATTTGTTAATGAACTAGATATGCAGGGCTATAAGAGTGAATGTTCTGATGCTTTAAATTTTAATATCTAGAAATCAAGGGTAAGGACCAATTACTAGAATTTCCACCCTTAGAGGAATAATTAATAAGGATGTAACAAATGTACAGCCCCAAACTTCTTTAAAAAAAGTTTAATTAAAAAAATTTAAGATCAATAGTTGAAAACCAGCCAAACAGCAATGTCAAGCTGTAGTAGTTTGTGATTGCGGCAGCTTTTTGTGTTGGTCATGGATCATAATTCTAAATGTTTTAATATACAGTAATCCATATGAATGCATTGCAGACCCTGTTATCACCTGTAGTTAATGGTGCCTGTGATACAAATGAACAGGCTGTTCTTTGCTCTTACCTTTATGGTAAATAAACCAGCATTCTGGAGTCACAATAATTAAATAAAATGTAAATCCCTAATCTCATTTGGCTATTTGGACCAAGAAAGTTACCCGGCTATTACCTGTCTAGTTCTAATGATTAGTAATGATTTATTGTTCTTTTTTTTTATTGTTCTAAAAGTGCTCTGATGTGGTGCCTTGATGTCTAATGAAAAGAAATTGGTCTTAAAAAGCTACTCATTGTTTATCCTGACTCTGAGATAACACATTTTTCTTCTGATAAAATATTTTTCTTATTTATTGTTCAAAACACACAATATAGACAATAACTCTAATTCTGGTGCAGTTTTATTTAGTAGTGTTTTATCCCCGGTGCCTGGCTGTCTACAGTCATACCTCAGCACATAGCTTTACTCTGAGATAAGCCCTCTCTCCTTTGCTCTTTCTCCCATGCTTTCTGGAGTTTGTCTGCAGGATGCAGGTTTTGAACTGAAGAGCGCAGTGGAGTTCTTACTGTGCCTTTCCGGTTCCAGCACAATCAAAGTTTTGTGTTTGGAATTGTCCTTGACATTCTTTCGTCCCACAATGGGGTGGACACAGTGTGCTGGAAACCATGACATCATTATCATTGACACAGACTTAAATAAATCACCTGCATCTTGGCCTCTTTCTGCTTATTCAAGGATTCTTCATCTTAAGGAAGAAAGTGCTCTTTATTTTTACAAACCTTCGTCCCAGGGGTGACTGGAAGACGCAAACTTTTACAAGTGTTTTAAAAATAAATATACTATGTGGTTTTAGACACAGTATGCTGAGTCAGAGGTGTCTTAGAGAATGTTTAAGGTTAGACATAAGGCAGAAAGACAGCCAGATTGCCTTTAATTCAGAGGCAGTATTCCTAAACTGTGTATCATTATGTCCTTCTGAATATGGATTCACTTGAAACTTAATTAAATAGGCATATACATAACATTTCAAATACATACCTGAAAAGGCTTAGTAGTGTTTCATTTTAATACATTGAGCTTGATATTCAAAACAGAAAAAGATTGATGCTCAGTGAATCAAAGCAAAGTACATTCTAGGTAAAAGTGACACCATCTCATCCAACATCTCTGAAAGATCTCAGTTGCATAGTCTTGGGATAAAAAGGGTTATAACTAAATAATACTACAAAATGCAATTTACACAATGTGCTGACTACACATTTGGATACCCAGCATTTATTAATTTGGGAAGCAACCAACTACTGTAACTTCTCTTTACTTTTTCATAAGAAAATGACAATGAGGAAGGAAGTGCAGCAGAAATCTTGAACATTACCACTATTATGCAAAAAAAAAAAAAAAAAAATGCTGTTAACTGTTTTCCCCTCAGTGACTTGATGTGCTCTCAGATGGAAAACTTATGATTCTTGTGACTCTTGGCTACCCGAAATCACATGAGATGAGCAAGGAAGAAAGACACAAAAGCTATATTTATATCTAGTACTGAACTTCTCAGAAATACCTTAATGTAATTCCTTGCAGAGACTGATAAAAATATCAGATGAGGGAGACTTTCAAATGATCAATGATTACAATTGACAACATAATATTGCTATATATTAAACTTCTAAATGTTTAATGCAAAATGTCTCTCTGAAAATATTTTTTAAATAAAGGAGAATTCCTTGCTCAGGAATGAATCTAAAGGGGTTGTACAGCTTAAACAAATATCATTCAAATTTTCTGATTATTATGAGGAGTGGCATTAAATTAGCATCTAGGTATATCTGTGTATTTTACCTTAAGAGGATCATGATTTTTTAGTTCTGATGCCATAAACAGATTTGCTGCACTGCTTGTAAAATATATTTTATTTTATTTTTTCTGTAACATTTTCTAGAACCTGTTCTTTCATGAAAGTAGATTAGAATATGATAAGCAAAGAATGACCAGGACAGATTTGGGAATTCGCAGAGTCCTATTTACAAAATTTCCCTTGTTTTAAGTAAAATGATTATCACAGAGAGATATTCATCCTGGAGCATATTTGGTCTCATTAGTATTGTCATAGTAAAAATACAATTTTTTAAACTTCATGTTTAATTTACTTACGTAAGAGATTTTTAACTGTCAGCTATCCTGCTCTGTCCTCCTACGTCCTCTACAATCTGGTAAGCAGAAAATTTGAGAGTGCCCCTATTTTTCAAATTCTCCCTTATTTTAAAATACTGCAATTTTTGATAGTGACCTTTCATTGTTTACGAATTTTTAACTTCAACATTATATATATATTCATCAGAACACTGAGCTGTTGTTATATATGTTTCCCCAGAAAATGATTATGATTACCTACTGGGGCATAAATGGTGATGAGGAGAAGACATTTATGGAGTGGTGGGGATAGGAATAAGGCAGGTATGTTCTAGAAGTTTATATCAAGCAGTGAAACAGGTATTGTTGTCACCTCTGGGATATTTGTTGTACAAACTGGGCATTCCCAGTTTTGATATGTAGAATTAGGTTTTCAAAAAGTATGCTTGCATAGATTAGCACCATTATAGCCCCCTAAAGGGGAAAGAAAAGCATGAAAACAAAATGTGAAATTCTGACTTGCCACTAAGCATCCAGAGTTTCCAGAGGCATAGCAGCCAGCATGCCTCTTCATGAGTACAAATACTTAGTTGCTTTTGACTCTTATTGAAAAAATAATATCTTTCCCCCGTTTGTCACTAGAACTGCCACCAGAAGAAAAGCCCTTCGTTTGCTCCAAATAAGCACTTCTGTTTTTCACAGCTTGCAGTAATGCTTAAAGTAAATAAGTTCTTGTGCAGCTAGCACTATTGGATTCATTCAATTGCGTGAACAAAGCTATTGTTTAGAGGTTTACAACAAGCCTTTTCTCTGCTTCCTTTAAAAGAATCTTCCTTGTTCCTGTGCTTGGCATGCTTAGTATAGTAAGCCTTTCTACAATTCTCAAATGCTAAAGATAATTTTCCCCCACAGAAGAAATGAAGGAAGACTATGACACTATGGGGCCAGAAGCCACGATCCAGACCACAATTAACAATGGTACAGGTGAGTTATGTTGGCCACGCTCAGATCACATTTGTCCTGTGTCATGTGGGTTTAGTGAGGCAGGGAAAGAAACACTGACCCCTCCATTTGTATCTCCATGACTTAACAAGTAAGTCAGACTTTACAGGTCTCTGGTTTTGTTTCAAATCAAAATTTTCTACATTTTGGTATTTTACTAAGCAAGTGTATCTTTCATTCTCACACCCCTAATTTACCTGTGATGTTCAAGAATACTGAACTCTATGAATGGATCCTTTCAGTGCATGAGTTGGGTGAATCTCGAGTAGTAACTTTTATTTTAAAAGACTGCAAAAAATTATTTTAAAATTAGGATATGATATGCCTCTGCTAGCCACAGCTTGATATCAGTCATTGAGAATTCAAACAATATGGTATAATTTAGACTGTAAAATGTTTTTTTCAGAAAGACAAATTTCCATGAACATTTCTCTCAATAATTAATCATCTGAGTTCCTTTAAATCCTTTCTTTACTTGTAATTCTCTGCATCCTTGAACCCTTCTGAATAATTTTTTCCAGGCAGTTTTAGAAAAGAATTGACAAGTTTACTTATTTTTAATGAAGCTAAAAAGTTACAGTGGGAAGATAGTGAGTGGCGTTTTGTTTCACTCTGCTACTGTAATAGAATGGAGTTTCAGGACAACTGTGATATTCCATGTTTTTTCCCAAACACTGAATGGCATCTTCTCTCCCATTCTTACATCACCAACACAAATTTACATGTTTATCTCTCTTTTCCTAGATGAGACTATTTTTTTTGTGGGGGGGTTGGGACGGCGGTGTTTCCAACAGTCCTCTACACTACCATCACAGATATTAGCATAGTGTCCACTATAAAATTATCTTCCAAAATAAAACAAAACAAAAAAACACATAACTACTTCTACTCAACTCATCCATGAAAAAAAAAGCTTGAAGTTTTATGAAATGTAAAAAACGAAGATGATCTTTATATCACCCTTATGTTGATACATACCATAATAAACTGCTCATGTTGTGTTTCTGTTTAAAATGTGCTTATTAATGACTTGAAAGCATGAATTCACTTTCCTGGGTATAAAATAAGAGAAATAATAAAAACCTATTGTCATTCTATTCATTCGAATAATGTCAAATTAAGGCATAAAAATAAAACTGTACAATATATGATTCCAGAAAAAGTGTAGAATCAAGCCCCAATAAACCTAATTTTTACACCCAGCCCTGACAATGACAAGATTGTAACCTTGGGCAAGCCAGTTTTCCTCTTTGGAACTCAGTTCCCACAACTGCAAAAAAAACGAGTAGATTAAACTAGTTTCTTGATAAGACTACTTCTAGTTTTAATATTTTATGTTGCATGGGTATTATCACCATGTAAAAAATAGAAACAAGATAAAATGACTTCATATTAAAATATAGTAATAAAGCGATATCATGAATTAGACACTTTCTATAATACATTCTATAACTCATGGGATCAAAAATGGCTTTGAGTTCCTTTTAAAGATAAATGTTAAATTTTGGCCTCCAGCATAAATAAAAACTGATTTTTATTACCCTTATAAGCACTTAAAGTGTCACAAAAGAAAATTTACCCACAAAGTAACAATTTACTAGTTGTTGTACACACCTAGAGTTTAAAGTGAAGTTAATAAAAATTGCTTCTATTCAGAAGGTTTAGAAGTCAATCTTGAATGTCTTTTCACCAGGCTTTAAAACCCCCTTTTTCTCATAATACCTGCTGTACCTTGTAGTTCATATGTATTCAGTCAATAAATAAATCAATAAGTATTCATTGAGTGTATTCTATACAGTCACTGTTGTGTGCATATGAGGTAGAAGATGGGTCAGAAAGACTAAAACATGGTTATCATTTAATTTGGAAGATGAGACTAATACACCTGATAAAATGATGATGATGAATAAGTGAAAATATGTGATAAACCTGCAACAAATGGTAGGAGCCATAATTATTTAGTTTTTTGGTGTTTTGTTTTGATTTGTTTTGTTTTGTTTGAGACAGAGTCTCAAATTTTGTCACCCAGGCCTGAGTGCAGTGGTGCAATCTTGGCTCACTACAACCTCTCCCAGGTTAAAGCGGTTCTCCTGCCTCAGCCTCCCTAGTAGCTGGGATTTCAGGCACACACCACCATGCTCGGCTAATTTTTGTATTTATAGTAGAGACGGGGCGTCACCGTGTTGGCCAGGCTGGTCTCGAACTCATGACCTCATGTGATCCTCCCACCTTAGCCTCCCAAAATGCTGAGATTACAGGCATGTGCCACTGCGCCTGGCCCATAATTATTTGAATTACAGAAATGAGAGAGAGTCTATGGAATGGGCATTCACATCAGGTTTTGTGAAGGAGGTAGAATTCGAACTGAATACATTTTCAATAGTCATGGAGGAGTGAGGAAGGGCTTTCTAGTTGAAGAGGAGTCTGTGAGCCAAGAAGGGAAAGTGTGACATCTATTCAGAGGATAGTGAGTAAAGGGTTTTGGCTGAATCAGAGAGTCCTAGGAGGCAATTTCTGGGAAATAAAGCTGGACATTTAAGTTAAAGCCAGATGGTGGAGAATATAAAGCACCAGACAGAAAAGTCTGGGTCATGTTATGCTACCATGATTTCTGTGGGTGAAAACTAGACTCTGAGAGAACAACTGGAAGTCATTGTAGTTATCCAGGTGTGAAGTGATAAAAATCGTGTCCTGAGGTGGAGACAGTGATGAAATTAGCAACCTGACTTCTTAATAAGCAATTGATTATCTGAATGACGGAGGCAAAATGGCTTCAGAATTCCAGATCTGCATGTTTAGAATATAGCAGTACTTGCTATTTCTAGATTTACAGAAGAAGGATCTAATTTTGAGAAGATCTTGAACCAGCCTTTAGACATAAGTATTTTCATATAAAAGATATATAGATATGGGAATATGGGAATGTCCTTTGGAAATGAGGAATTGAAATCCAAGAAGTCAGGGCTGGAGATAGAGATTTGAGAGTTATGCAAATATACTCAGATCATGTTCAAGATCATATAGAACTATGAGATTTATGACTGAGTGTATTTGTTGAAAGCTGAGGCCAGGGCTCCTGGTGGCTAGGGAGGAAAGTCAACGAAGATTTTCTTTTGAAAAAAAAAAAAAGATTATGACACAAGAGAGAAAAATTAAACATTCAGAAGCAAAGAAAGAGAATTTCGTAAAGGTGAGAACTAAGTTAAAAGCTTCAAATAACTACCCTTGAAAGAAAGCTGAATAAATACACTGGACTTAGTTAATTAGAAATGTACTAGTGATCTTCAGCTTACAACTCTGCCCTTTTAGAGAATAAGTACATATCAGTCTTCCTAGCTACAAGCTTACCACTTCTTCTCCCTGGCATCTCTTTGGATGCTAAATACATATGGTTTTAGAAATAATACATCTTTTCTTGTTGAAATTACATCTAAAAGACCATCTTCCTCTGCTCCCAAGTCCTACTCATCAAGATCCTGCTATTGGCTGAACGTCTTCTCTAGCCATCCCACACTAGAATGTCTTCCTCCAATGAACCTGTGGGGTTTGGGCTGCTTTATCGCCATGAATCCGGGAATGGTCTCCATCACAAAGTGTCTTTGAAGAAATGAGCCAGTGAATGGGAGACAAACAGCACTTGGACTTCCCTTTTGTATTTTTAGGTTGACATATTTTTGACCCCTGGCCTAAAGTAACCAACCAGACATTTTCATCTCTCCTTTATTCCACTCATCCGAACTTGAAAGCCTTAGTTACATTTGACTGTTCTCTGACCCTCATGTCCTCCTCTATTTAGTCAGCCCACATCTTTTCTTTAACAGTTTCCTCAATGTCCAAATTCCCTTCTTAGAATCCTGAATTGCCCCTGAGCACCTACAGGACATTCTTCAGTCCGATAATAAGTGCCATCCATTGTATACCAACGGCGCTCCATTCTTGTCAGACCAAATCCCTGGGTGATAACAAAAAAGAACCACATTTATACCAACCTCTGAATCTCTGCCCATGCTATCCCTTCAGACCCTAATCCCCCAGCTCCTGTCTTCCAGTCATTCAAATTCTCCCCATCCTTCTGTTCTTCAAGTCCAGGTCACGTTGGACTTGATGTGGTCAGCCTTGAACACCCCAAATGACAGCAATCTGTTCCTTTTCTGAAATCCCACAACCCTAAGGTGTACACCGCTAACTTCAGCATGTTTAATTGTTCCTCTTTATATTGTTTGCCCTTATTTCGTGGAGTCAATTTCATGAAGACAAGAGGTTTCTTCAGCTTGAAAATGAGGGTGGATCATCCTGGTATCTACCTCATTGGCTGACCTTGTTCTGTAGCCAGTAATTAAATAAATAATTACTGAGGTAATCAAATAAATAATGAAGCCAGGTGTGGTGGTCTGGCCCATAATCTCAGCTACTCAGGAGGTTGAGGTGGGAGGATGGCTTCAGTCTAGGAGTTGGAGGCTGCAGTGAGCCATAATCCACTGCACTGCAGCCTGGGTGACAGAGCAAGACCCTATCTCAAAAATAGTAATAATAAGAATGTATATGTTGATATTAGTAAGTGACTAAAAAAATGTTTGCCCTAAGGAAAGGGCTATTCCATTTTGCCTCAATAAGCCCAGTTATAGCAGGGAGCATACATGGTAGATACTACGACTGGTGAAATGAATGAATGAGTCAATGAATGAATATTTGGTGGAGAAGAAATGGATTCTGATAAAGGAAGCCACAGTAGGGAAAATATTCTCTGTGGAGGCGACTAAGTCAGTATCTTTAGAGAGTGAAACCAGGATCTAAGTCCCTGAAGGATTTTGCCTTGTTAAAGGCAAAGAAGAATAGCCTAGAGTATCACTATATATATTTTTTTTTACAACAAAGTTAGATTAACTGAATGGCAAAATTGATCTGTAACACATAAAACAGCGCAAACCTGGATTTATATTAATAACTTTCCGCATTGCGTAAGTTCACCGGTTTTAATGTTT